TTTCTTGTTTGTTTTTGACAACGATGATTTGAATTCTGGACATGTTGAATCTGAGGTGTCATATGAATAGTCAAATAGAGGTATGCAGAAAGGAGACTTAAAAATCTATTACTAGGACTCTGAGGGGAGTTTGAGGGTAAGTATGTGATTTGAGAGTCATTCCCCTGAAAGGTGATTGAATGACTAAATTGAGTGTATAAGGTGCTTCATTCTGGTCATGAATGTACTTAGGTTCAGAGAACTAAGAGATTAGTCTCTTTGTCTACTTCATCCTGTTCTTCGTACTCCCTGCCCCAACCTTCTTATTTTGATCACAATACCCCTTTTCTCAACCCACACCACTCCATCAATTCCTTCAGCCCCAACATAGAGTCTCCCTGAACCTTGTGGGGAGGACAAAGCTTATTTAGATTGGCTTTGCTTCAATATGCAGCTTCTTCTTCCTTGGGCTCTTGCTTTCACAGATTAGGACATTCTAGCTAGAGCAGGATCCAAGGGACAGATCTTTTATTAGGCCTTGGAGGACTTTGGACTTCTGACATTTAGTTATTTAGAGAAGAATTTTAGAGCGGGGAAGATGTGGGTATAAGAAAGGTAGTGCATGCTTTTCTCTCTTCTTGCTCTCTTGGCATAAGTCTTGAATTCAGTAAATCCTTGGCTTCCATTGGGAGCTGTGGGGCATCATTTCCCTGTTCTTTTCCTCACCAAGGTGGTCTAAATGTCCTGCACATTTGTTTCTTGAAAACCATAAACTTTTAGAGTTCAGGCTTTGTCTGCACACAGTACACTTGTGTACTACTAGAGATTTCCAAAGCTTTTATCTGATGACTGTTTCTGTTCTCTCAATCAAGAGTCTTAGCACAATCTCAGGTATGATATTTTCCTGTTTGATCCTAAAGTCAGTTACAGCTTTCAGAACCTGTATATATATTTTCCTGATCCTACAGTTAATCCTTTGGGACCCAGAGCACATGGATACATATTACCAGATGGTTTCTACTGCTTATCTGTTTCCAACCAGATATGAAACTTCACATCAGGTGAATTTTTTGATGTATATATTTCTTATACGTACTTGATATAGACAGTGTTGAACTATTAGGCTTCATATATTCCCCTTCACTGTGTGACCATGGGCCAGTCACAACCTCTATGAGCCTCAACTTCTGATGTGTAAAATGGGGATAATATACCTATTGTGTTGAAAAGTAAGTGTTGGGGAATAAGGTATAAGAAAACTGGTAAGGTAGGAGAGGGCTAGGTTATGATGGTTTTTGAATGGCAAAGAGAACATTTTTTATTTGACCCTGGAGGCAAGAGGGAGCTGCTGGAGTTTATTGAGTAGTGGAGTGACATGGTTGAACCTGCACTTTAGGAAAAATATTTTAATGGCTGAATGAACAATGGATTGAAGCAGGGAAATATCTGAGGCAAGCAGACTCACTAGCAGATTATTGCTATATGTGTGAGGTGATTAGGGCCTGCACGACAGTGGTGGCTGTGTCAGAGGAGAGAAGGGGGCATATAGGAGAGATGTTGCAGAAGTGAAGTATAGAAGAGCTGTTGTGGAGGTGAAATCGACAGGCATTGGCAATAGCTTGGATAAGGGGATGAGAGATAGTGAGGAATTCAGGATGACTCCTAGTGAGCTTGAGGGAATGGCAGGATGGGGTTGCTCTTTGCAGTAATAGGGAAGTTTGGAGATGGGAGGAAGGGGAAAAGATAATGAGTTCTGTTTTGGACATGTTTAGTTTAAGATGTCTACTGGACATCCAGTTCAAAATATTTGAAATGTAGTTGGAGATGCAAGACTGCAGGTCAGCAGAGAGGTTAGGGCAGGATAGGTAGTTTTGAGACTCATCAGCACAGAGATGATGATTAATTCCATGGGAGTTGATGAGATTGCCAAATGAAGTAGTATGGAAGGAGAAGGGAGAGCCCAGGACAGAACTCTGAGGGACACTGAAGGTTAAAGGGCATGATCTGTAAGAGGATAATAGAGACTAAGAAAGAGTGGTCTGATAGGTAGGTGGAGAAGTAGGAGACAGTGATGTTCCCCAAATTTAGACATTAGATTTAAAATGTTCAATTTTGGTTTAGGGGTTAATAGGCAATACAAATTAGAGGCTTACAGTGGCCAGGATGTTTCTGGGGTCTTGAGTGAACTATCACTCAATGTATTGACTCTTTGTGTGAAACTCCTGATTGTGATTATTCTTCATTTAAAATGAAGGCTAAATGTCTTTATATGTGCTCATTGTTAACTGTTATTGAAACATGAGAAAAACAGTTATGACTTAGCCCTAAGTTGTGATTAGTGAAATTTTACAATTTGAAGTAAAATCTTTGGACTGTAATTTGACATTGTTATAAGTTTTTTAAAATTTATCTATCTATCTATTTATTTATTTATTTAGCCATCCATCCATCTATTTATTTACTCATTATTATCTATATTAATTATTTATTTTGATTTATCAACAATCATTCCATAAGCTTTGAGTTAAATGAGTTTTATAAGTTTTGGCTTAAGGTATGATTGTCTGAGTTGTCATGAAGCCAATATTTCACCATTTAAGGAGAATGCCATGTGCTATCAAAGGGAGTGTGACCTTTTAAAAATTATTCATTCATTCATTTATTACTCATTTATTTTTTCATCCATTTATTTATTTGCTTGTTCATTCATTCATTCATTCATTCATTCATTCATTATTTGGCTAGGCAATGGGTTAAGTGACTTGCCAGGTCACATAGCTAGTAACTGTTATGTGTCTGAGCCACATTTGAACTCAGGTCCTTCTGAATCCAGGGCTGGTGCTCTATCCACTGCGCCTCCTAGCTGCCCCTAAATTTATTTATTTTTTAATTTTCAACATTCACTTCCACTAGATTTTGAGTTCCAAATTTCTCCCCATCTCATCCCTCCCTCTACCCCAAGATGGCATGATTCTGTATACCCCTTACCCTAATCTGCCCTTCTATCTCTGCCCCCCTTCTTTATCCCCTTCTTCTTCTGTTATCCTCAGGATATATTTCTATATCCCATTTCCTGTATTTCTTATTTCCCAGTTGCATGTGAAGAATGATCTTAAAACTTCTACAGGTAGATGTCTGTCCCTGGGAAAAGCTGAGGGATGGTAAGCAAAGGTAAGTAAGATCCCTTTGACTCACTTCCTATTGTGCTATTACCTTCTGAATAGAATTTCCCTCTTTGTTAATTCTGAGTATGGCAACCTCTAGTTATAGGTTTGGTAACCTGGGTATGATAACCTCTGAATAATGTGGAATTTTGCTGCACAATTGGTTGTTAAACTATGACTCTTGCCTGGAATTAAATGGAACTAAGGAAGTTTTCCCCTGTTATGACTTGTGTCAGATCAATCTGTGCCCTTGAAAAAACAGTCTTGATGTTGTTATAACCATTTCCTTTCTTCTTCCTTTTATAGCAAAGTTCTATATTCAGGACAAGTGAACAGTAGAAGTTGTTATCATTGTAATACTAAATCTATTAATTAATAGAGTAATAATAAAACATCTGAGTTACTATAATAAGATTCAAGTATGAAAGCTCTTGCTATTTTAATCTGTATTTGTGGTCAACTCATAGCTATGTAACTAGTTCTTAGGCTTTCCATCCCCTTGCTAATAGTAGTATATTCATGTCTAAGATTAGGTCCTTAAAGTATCTCATTTTTCAAGATGATATGAAGATAATATATATCCTCAAAAAGGGAAGATGAAGCAAAGATGTAAACTTTTTAAAAAAAATTTAACATAGTAGTAAACTTTGGGAAAGCAATATATTATACTGTTTTCCCTAAGACTGGGACACACACACATATAATAATTGGCTTCCAAATATTTCTAATGAGAATTTTTTTTGGATGTCATAGAATCTATCCTTTTGGTGGCAGGAAGTGGGAAGAAAGATAAGAACTTGGGTATGATTAAAATAATAAAAATAACAATTCACATTTCTATTGTACTTTACAGTTACAAAGAACTTTATATGTGTTATCTTATTTCATTCTCACAATAATCTTGGGAGGAGGTGCTATTAGTATTTCTATCTCCATTTAAAGATGAAAAATCATGAGTTCAGAGACTTGCCCAAGGTCATATAGTGAGCAAATGTTAGAGCCATGATTCAAATCCAGACCTTCCAGACCTTTCCATCACACTATAGCACCATTAGAAAAAGAAGTCAAATAGGAGGAGAGAAAGAAGGGATAGAATCAGATAGAATGGTCACAAAAGTCTAATTAAGGGGATTGCTCTCTGTAACAGCAATATATTTAAGTCATTTCCCCATACATGACATCCTGTACTTCTTGGAAAGGGGCAGAAATCAGGGACTGATCAATGGATTCTGCAATAAGGGTAGGAGAAAGCAACCTCCTAGCTGAGGGCTATAAATAGTTCAGACAGAAGAATGCCTGGGTAGTCTTCAGGCTGAGGTCATAGTTCTCCAGAAATCAGTGTCTGGGAGGAAAGTCAGAGCTTCTAGAGTCTATTACAGAAGTGTCGACCCTCACAGCACTCTTTTATGACCATCTTTTGACCTATTATTATTTTTGATTCTTGGCAATTCTCTTTACACATCAGCGCTGCGTACTGAATGACTCCATCTAGGAAAGCAGAAAGACAAACATTTCCAAGGGTCTAGATGAGAGACTCCAGGCAACTATAGTGGCCACCTTCATTCCTATTGCCCATTAGCCCAACGATACAGGCAAACCTATATGAAGTGAGTTTAGCTTCTGTTGGGATTGGATCATACTTGGAATGCCTTCCAGGGTCCTGGACTATCAATGATGATTATTCTGGGATGCTCCACCTCCCATGACCCCTAGGGGCCTCCCTAGACCACAGACTGAGATGGCCAAAGCCACAACCCAGCAAGGGCTATCAGAATTACCCAGGCCCAATAAATCAGCCCACCTCCCCCTACCTCCACCTACCATAGTAGAATTCTCAGTTAAACAGCTCTCATTTCTGTTGTCGTACAGGTACCAAATCCAACTGTACACTTCCTATCTGGAAGTATAAAGTTGCAAGTTCTACATTTCAGAGGCTCAGTAGCTGTCGGAATACAGAAAGCAAAGTGAAAATGCTAAGCTTGACTCTGCCTGTAATAGAAGTTTCCATTAGCTAGAAGGCATTCAGAAAGGGGGAGGGGAGGAACCTGGGGCCCCGTTCTTTACACCCAACCTAATCTAGGATCACCCTGCTCTGTCTTTTCCAAGGGATGTTCTCCTTTGATGAAACCATAGGGAGGCTCCTACTTCAAAATGGACCTGGGGTCCCTTGTGCCTACCAAGCAAGGAGGAGGGCAGGGGTGAGATGACTGAAGAAGATCACAGTAAGGGAAGACAGAACTCCTATTCTCTCCCAGTGGCTTCCCTGGTAGTTCCGAGGGGAGTAGCCCAGCCTCAGTCCCAGACTCCCCAAGGCTAGCATAGTTTGGGAGGAGAGACTTAGGAGTCGTTGAAAGTCTGTGGAGAGGGCATTAGGATTCTAGAGAGAGGAGAAAATATTTCCTTGTGAGTCATTCCTTACCATTATTTTTGCGATGATTTTTCCGACACTTCATACAGATTCCCCCAGACATAGTCCATGTGAGGCAAAGGAGAGAAAGGCCCAAGAGAAGCTTGTCCATCGAATATCAATATTGTACTAGAGAGAGCAAAATCAGAAGAGGCAGTGAACTTGGACGCTGCCTCCCACTTTATATTGCCTAGAGTAGCTCCTGGAGGAACTGAGAGATAATGGCTCATTATCTAAGCCTCTCAGAGGTCAGATGCCCCATGGGTAGCCATTGCTTCCTACCAATAGGAAAGGGGCTTTTGACCAGTGTGGTAGGACTGTGACTGATCAGTTGATCCCTTGGTAGGAAGCAAACCTTCTTAGTAAGGAACATATCCCTGGGGCTTATAGGAAGGGGTGGAAGATACAATCCAAATGGCCTAACACCGCAGTTTATTTTGTGTCACTTTACCATGAGGGTTTATATTCTAGTAATTTAGAAGATGTTAACTTCAGTAGGAATCAAGGGGTGGCCTGCCCTCAGGAACTACTAGAAGTGATTAGTTTCTTATAGTCAAGCTATCTAAGGAAGGAATGTTGGGGATTGGTTTGAGAGGATTTATAACCTGGCTCCTTCCTAGTGATTTCAGTGTCAGGCTTTTCCCTGGGAAAGAAGTTTGATTTTGGAGTCAGTGTGCTGGAGTGAAGATGAATTGTTTTCTCTGCCAGGCTCTATTCAGGTAGTCATGGGAAATTCAGTGAATCATGTTTTTTTCTTCTTTATCAATGGATGTTGAGAGTGCTTGACCTAGTTTAGTACACCTCTTTTTCAGAAAGTTTTGATTTGTTGCATGTGACAAAAGTGTAGTCAGAGTATCTTTTTTCAGAATATTAAAAGGCCACACCTCCCTGTTAGGAGAAATTCATAGTCTTTTTAGCCTAATGCTTAATAAATTCCCAAGAAAATCAGACTAATTTTCCTATAACATGCTTCCATGGGGTTCTTTCTGTCTTTGTTCCATTGGAAATATTTCAAGGACAAGATTTGTATTTTCTCTTTCTTATATAGTTTTCCTCCTCCAACTTGCCTACTGGAGTCTTTATATACATAGTAGGCCATTTGGCAAGGCTCGGCTAACTGTCCAGTGACTGAGTATAGGAGGTTAATTGCCTGATTAGAAGTGACATTCCTGGAATAAATTTTAACACTGTGGTCCTCCTGAGGTAGTATGGGAAGGCACAGTACTGTCACTGACCTTTTCTGAAAGTTGACCCCTGGTAACTACCTATATCACCTCCTTCTCAGCATAGCTCTGACTTAATGAATAAATTAAGAAAAAATAACAATTGCATTAACCTCTTTAGTGATAGTTGGTACAGAAAAACTGAGCAAAGTGTTTCTGGCAAAACAAAAACTTGTTTTCTTTTGTTCTAGATGGACTATTGTTATCTATATCACAAATTACATGAAGCCATTGTTAAATCAGGAAGAAGCTTTATTAATGACCTGGGAAGGCTGGGCATTCCACACCTGTGAGAGCACATGTGTCGACAGATGCCCACCTTTTTATTCCCTATTCCCCCTTCTAATTCCCTTTCCCTATTACCCCACTGGCTGGGTACTACAGAGGTTACAGCCCATCTGAAACACCTAATTTCCCTATTGCGATCCCTGTCCCTCTGTACTTCTCCCACTCCCCAAAATTCAGAGACCCAGGCTCTTATTTACTTTTGCCCTTATTTGGGTATGCTCACGCCCCTTCTGCTTGGGATGAGGATATGTTCATCTGTACCTAACCTCAGAACTGGTTTTCTTAGTCCATTCATTCATCAATTCTGCTTTATGTCTCCCTTTGTTTAACTTCCACCTAACCCTTAGGTTGCATTTGTTAGATTCTACTTGACTTTTGTGGAAATAAAAAAACTGGCTTATTCTCACAGCTATCTATATATTTTTGTATATAAAGGAGACATATCATGTCATAATTAAAATTATGCAACCTTGTTTTCCATTTCTTTATATAACTCAGGAGTAGCGTGTGTGTTGGAGAGCTGGCCTCAAAGCCAGACCCGAGGTTTAAGTCTCAGCTCTTCTTCTGTGACCTTGGGAAAGTCCCTACTTCTTAGTGCCCTAGGCAACCCTCTTAGACAATAAGTTGCAGAGAATGTGCTGATGATTTGACTTGGGAGAAAGTTCATTACCTGGGAGTTCTCTAAATTAATGAAATCATAGATCCTGTTGCTTGATTTCATCTATTAAAATAATTTTAGAAGATTATACTACAATGATTCTGCCAAAGTTTGTTTAAATGTGTGGTTTTTACCCATTGCGGAAAGATGGAGAACCATTTAGAGCAATAGTTAATGTGAGAGTTGAGGAAAACTTTATCCACTTCTTAGTGGAAGGGAGTGGAATGTATTCCAGAGATAATTTGGAGGTGAATTGAAAGGGCCTGAGAATGATTAAGGTGGGAGGGGAAGAAAAGGGCTAGGACAGGTGGGATGAGGAAGAAGGAAGAGTCAAAGATGAAAAGAGGAGTAGAGGATGACTCCAAAATTAGAAATCTGGATCCTGGCAGTGTGGTACCAGTAACAGAAAAGAGAAGTTAGGAGAAAGGATCTTTTCTTGTTTGTTTTGACAACGATGATTTGAATTCTGGACATGTTGAATCTGAGGTCATATGAATAGTCAAATAGAGGTATGCAGAAAGGAGACTTAAAAATCTATTACTAGGACTCTGAGGGGAGTTTGAGGGTAAGTATGTGATTTGAGAGTCATTCCCCTGAAAGGTGATTGAATGACTAAATTGAGTGTATAAGTGCTTCATTCTGGTCATGAATGTACTTAGGTTCAGAGAACTAAGAGATTAGTCTCTTTGTCTACTTCATCCTGTTCTTCGTACTCCCTGCCCCAACCTTCTTATTTTGACACAATACCCCTTTTCTCAACCCACACCACTCCATCAATTCCTTCAGCCCCAACATAGAGTCTCCCTGAACCTTGTGGGAGGACAAAGCTTATTTAGATTGGCTTTGCTTCAATATGCAGCTTCTTCTTCCTTGGGCTCTTGCTTTCACAGATTAGGACATTCTAGCTAGAGCAGGATCCAAGGGACAGATCTTTTATTAGGCCTTGGAGGACTTTGGACTTCTGACATTTAGTTATTTAGAGAAGAATTTTAGAGCGGGGAAGATGTGGGTATAAGAAAGGTAGTGCATGCTTTTCTCTCTTCTTGCTCTCTTGGCATAAGTCTTGAATTCAGTAAATCCTTGGCTTCCATTGGGAGCTGTGGGGCATCATTTCCCTGTTCTTTTCCTCACCAAGGTGGTCTAAATGTCCTGCACATTTGTTTCTTGAAAACCATAAACTTTTAGAGTTCAGGCTTTGTCTGCACACAGTACACTTGTGTACTACTAGAGATTTCCAAAGCTTTTATCTGATGACTGTTTCTGTTCTCTCAATCAAGAGTCTTAGCACAATCTCAGGTATGATATTTTCCTGTTTGATCCTAAAGTCAGTTACAGCTTTCAGAACCTGTATATATATTTTCCTGATCCTACAGTTAATCCTTTGGGACCCAGAGCACATGGATACATATTACCAGATGGTTTCTACTGCTTATCTGTTTCCAACCAGATATGAAACTTCACATCAGGTGAATTTTTTGATGTATATATTTCTTATACGTACTTGATATAGACAGTGTTGAACTATTAGGCTTCATATATTCCCCTTCACTGTGTGACCATGGGCCAGTCACAACCTCTATGAGCCTCAACTTCTGATGTGTAAAATGGGGATAATATACCTATTGTGTTGAAAAGTAAGTGTTGGGGAATAAGGTATAAGAAAACTGGTAAGGTAGGAGAGGGCTAGGTTATGATGGTTTTTGAATGGCAAAGAGAACATTTTTTATTTGACCCTGGAGGCAAGAGGGAGCTGCTGGAGTTTATTGAGTAGTGGAGTGACATGGTTGAACCTGCACTTTAGGAAAAATATTTTAATGGCTGAATGAACAATGGATTGAAGCAGGGAAATATCTGAGGCAAGCAGACTCACTAGCAGATTATTGCTATATGTGTGAGGTGATTAGGGCCTGCACGACAGTGGTGGCTGTGTCAGAGGAGAGAAGGGGGCATATAGGAGAGATGTTGCAGAAGTGAAGTATAGAAGAGCTGTTGTGGAGGTGAAATCGACAGGCATTGGCAATAGCTTGGATAAGGGGATGAGAGATAGTGAGGAATTCAGGATGACTCCTAGTGAGCTTGAGGGAATGGCAGGATGGGGTTGCTCTTTGCAGTAATAGGGAAGTTTGGAGATGGGAGGAAGGGGAAAAGATAATGAGTTCTGTTTTGGACATGTTTAGTTTAAGATGTCTACTGGACATCCAGTTCAAAATATTTGAAATGTAGTTGGAGATGCAAGACTGCAGGTCAGCAGAGAGGTTAGGGCAGGATAGGTAGTTTTGAGACTCATCAGCACAGAGATGATGATTAATTCCATGGGAGTTGATGAGATTGCCAAATGAAGTAGTATGGAAGGAGAAGGGAGAGCCCAGGACAGAACTCTGAGGGACACTGAAGGTTAAAGGGCATGATCTGTAAGAGGATAATAGAGACTAAGAAAGAGTGGTCTGATAGGTAGGTGGAGAAGTAGGAGACAGTGATGTTCCCCAAATTTAGACATTAGATTTAAAATGTTCAATTTTGGTTTAGGGGTTAATAGGCAATACAAATTAGAGGCTTACAGTGGCCAGGATGTTTCTGGGGTCTTGAGTGAACTATCACTCAATGTATTGACTCTTTGTGTGAAACTCCTGATTGTGATTATTCTTCATTTAAAATGAAGGCTAAATGTCTTTATATGTGCTCATTGTTAACTGTTATTGAAACATGAGAAAAACAGTTATGACTTAGCCCTAAGTTGTGATTAGTGAAATTTTACAATTTGAAGTAAAATCTTTTGGACTGTAATTTGACATTGTTATAAGTTTTTTAAAATTTATCTATCTATCTATTTATTTATTTATTTAGCCATCCATCCATCTATTTATTTACTCATTTATTTATCTATATTAATTAATTTATTTTGATTTATCAACAATCATTTCCATAAGCTTTTGAGTATTAAATGAGTTGTTATAAGTTTTGGCTTAAGGTATGATTGTCTGAGTTGTCATGAAGCCAATATTTCACCATTTAAGGAGAATGCCATGTGCTATCCAAAGGGAGTGTGACCTTTTAAAAATTCATTCATTCATTCATTTATTTACTCATTTATTTTTTCATCCATTTATTTATTTGCTTGTTCATTCATTCATTCATTCATTCATTCATTCATTTATTTGGCTAGGCAATGGGGTTAAGTGACTTGCCAGGGTCACATAGCTAGTAACTGTTATGTGTCTGAGGCCACATTTGAACTCAGGTCCTTCTGAATCCAGGGCTGGTGCTCTATCCACTGCGCCTCCTAGCTGCCCCTAAATTTATTTATTTTTAATTTTCAACATTCACTTCCACTAGATTTTGAGTTCCAAATTTCTCCCCATCTCATCCCTCCCTCTACCCCAAGATGGCATGATTCTGTATACCCCTTACCCTAATCTGCCCTTCTATCTCTGCCCCCCTTCTCTTATCCCCTTCTTCTTCTGTTATCCTCAGGATATATTTCTATATCCCATTTCCTGTATTTCTTATTTCCCAGTTGCATGTGAAGAATGATCTTAAAACTTCTACAGGTAGATGTCTGTCCCTGGGAAAAGCTGAGGGGATGGGTAAGCAAAGGTAAGTAAGATCCCTTTGACTCACTTTCCTATTGTGCTATTTACCTTCTGAATAGGAAATTTTCCCTCTTTGTTAATTCTGAGGTATGGCAACCTCTAGTTATAGGTTTGGTAACCTGGGTATGATAACCTCTGAATAATGTGGAATTTTGCTGCACAATTGGTTGTTAAACTATGACTCTTGCCTGGAATTAAATGGAACTAAGGAAGTTTTCCCCTGTTATGACTTGTGTCAGATCAATCTGTGCCCTTGAAAAAACAGTCTTGATGTTGTTATAACCATTTCCTTTCTTCTTCCTTTTATAGCAAAGTTCTATATTCAGGACAAGTGAACAGTAGAAGTTGTTATCATTGTAATACTAAATCTATTAATTAATAGAGTAATAATAAAACATCTGAGTTACTATAATAAGATTCAAGTATGAAAGCTCTTGCTATTTTAATCTGTATTTGTGGTCAACTTCATAGCCTATGTAACTAGTTCTTAGGCTTTCCATCCCCTTGCTAATAGTAGTATATTCATGTCTAAGATTAGGTCCTTAAAGTATCTCATTTCTTCAAGATGATATGAAGATAATATATATCCTCAAAAAGGGAAGATGAAGCAAAGATGTAAACTTTTTAAAAAAAATTTAACATAGTAGTAAACTTTGGGAAAGCAATAATATTATACTGTTTTCCCTAAGGACTGGGACACACACACATATAATAATTGGCTTCCAAATATTTCTAATGAGAATTTTTTTTGGGATGTCATAGAATCTATCCTTTTGGTGGCAGGAAGTGGGGAAGAAAGATAAGAACTTGGGTATGATTAAAATAATAAAAATAACAATTCACATTTCTATTGTACTTTACAGTTACAAAGAACTTTATATGTGTTATCTTATTTCATTCTCACAATAATCTTGGGAGGGAGGTGCTATTAGTATTTCTATCTCCATTTAAAGATGAAAAATCATGAGTTCAGAGACTTGCCCAAGGTCATATAGTGAGCAAATGTTAGAGCCATGATTCAAATCCAGACCTTCCAGACCTTTCCATCACACTATAGCACCATTAGAAAAAGAAGTCAAATAGGAGGGAGAGAAAGAAGGGATAGAATCAGATAGAATGGTCACAAAAAGTCTAATTCAAGGGGGATTGCTCTCTGTAACAGCAATATATTTAAGTCATTTCCCCATACATGGACATCCTGTACTTCTTGGAAAGGGGCAGAAATCAGGGACTGATCAATGGATTCTGCAATAAGGGTAGGAGAAAGCAACCTCCTAGCTGAGGGCTATAAATAGTTCAGACAGAAGAATGCCTGGGTAGTCTTCAGGCTGAGGTCATAGTTCTCCAGAAATCAGTGTCTGGGGAGGAAAGTCAGAGCTTCTAGAGTCTATTACAGAAGTGTCGACCCTCACAGCACTCTTTTATGACCATCTTTTGACCTATTATTATTTTTGATTCTTGGCAATTCTCTTTACACATCAGCGCTGCGTACTGAATGACTCCATCTAGGAAAGCAGAAAGACAAACATTTCCAAGGGTCTAGATGAGAGACTCCAAGGCAACTATAGTGGCCACCTTCATTCCTATTGCCCATTAGCCCAACGATACAGGCAAACCTATATGAAGTGAGTTTAGCTTCTGTTGGGGATTGGATCATACTTGGGAATGCCTTCCAGGGTCCTGGACTATCAATGATGATTATTCTGGGATGCTCCACCTCCCATGACCCCTAGGGGCCTCCCTAGACCACAGACTGAGATGGCCAAAGCCACAACCCAGGCAAGGGCTATCAGAATTACCCAGGCCCAATAAATCAGCCCACCTCCCACCTACCTCCACCTACCATAGTAGAATTTCTCAGTTAAACAGCTCTCATTTCTTGTTGTCGTACAGGTACCAAATCCAACTGTACACTTCCTATCTGGAAGTATAAAGTTGCAAGTTCTACATTTCAGAGGCTCAGTAGCTGTCGGAATACAGAAAGCAAAGTGAAAATGCTAAGCTTGACTCTGCCTGTAATAGAAGTTTCCATTAGCTAGAAGGCATTCAGAAAGGGGGAGGGGAGGAACCTGGGGCCCCGTTCTTTACACCCAACCTAATCTAGGATCACCCTGCTCTGTCTTTTCCAAGGGATGTTCTCCTTTGATGAAACCATAGGGAGGCTCCTACTTCAAAATGGACTTGTAGTCCCTTGTGCCTACCGAGCAAGGAGGAGGGCAGGGGTGAGATGACTGAAGAAGATCACAGTAAGGGAAGACAGAACTCCTATTCTCTCCCAGTGGCTTCCCTGGTAGTTCCGAGGGGAGTAGCCCAGCCTCAGTCCCAGACTCCCCAAGGCTAGCATAGTTTGGGAGGAGAGACTTAGGAGTCGTTGAAAGTCTGTGGAGAGGGCATTAGGATTCTAGAGAGAGGAGAAAATATTTCCTTGTGAGTCATTCCTTACCATTATTTTTGCGATGATTTTTCCGACACTTCATACAGATTCCCCCAGACATAGTCCATGTGAGGCAAAGGAGAGAAAGGCCCAAGAGAAGCTTGTCCATCGAATATCAATATTGTACTAGAGAGAGCAAAATCAGAAGAGGCAGTGAACTTGGACGCTGCCTCCCACTTTATATTGCCTAGAGTAGCTCCTGGAGGGAACTGAGAGATAATGGCTCATTATCTAAGCCTCTCAGAGGTCAGATGCCCCATGGGTAGCCATTGCTTCCTACCAATAGGAAAGGGGCTTTTGACCAGTGTGGTAGGACTGTGACTGATCAGTTGATCCCTTGGTAGGAAGCAAACCTTCTTAGTAAGGAACATATCCTGGGGCTTATAGGAAGGGGTGGAAGATACAATCCAAATGGCCTAACACCGCAGTTTATTTTGTGTCACTTTACCATGAGGGTTTATATTCTAGTAATTTAGAAGATGTTAACTTCAGTAGGAATCAAGGGGTGGCCTGCCCTCAGGAACTACTAGAAGTGATTAGTTTCTTATAGTCAAGCTATCTAAGGAAGGAATGTTGGGGATTGGTTTGAGAGGATTTATAACCTGGCTCCTTCCTAGTGATTTCAGTGTCAGGCTTTTCCCTGGGAAAGAAGTTTGATTTTGGAGTCAGTGTGCTGGAGTGAAGATGAATTGTTTTCTCTGCCAGGCTCTATTCAGGTAGTCATGGGAAACTTCAGTGAATCATATTTTTTTTCTTCTTTATCAATGGATGTTGAGAGTGCTTGACCTAGTTTAGTACACCTCTTTCTTCAGAAAGTTTTGATTTGTTGCATGTGACAAAAGTGTAGTCAGAGTATCTTTTTTCAGAATATTAAAAGGCCACACCTCCCTGTTAGGAGAAATTCATAGCCTTTTTAGCCTAATGCTTTATAAATTCCCAAGAAAATCAGACTAATTTTCCTATAACATGCTTCCATGGGGTTCTTTCTGTCTTTGTTCCATTGGAAATATTTCAAGGACAAGATTTGTATTTTCTCTTTCTTATATAGTTTTCCTCCTCCAACTTGCCTACTGGAGTCTTTATATACATAGTAGGCCATTTGGCAAGGCTCGGCTAACTGTCCAGTGACTGAGTATAGGAGGTTAATTGCCTGATTAGAAGTGACATTCCTGGAATAAATTTTAACACTGTGGTCCTCCTGAGGTAGTATGGGAAGGCACAGTACTGTCACTGACCTTTTCTGAAAGTTGACCCCTGGTAACTACCTATATCACCTCCTTCTCAGCATAGCTCTGACTTAATGAATAAATTAAGAAAAAATAACAATTGCATTAACCTCTTTAGTGATAGTTGGTACAGAAAAACTGAGGTTTGTCTTTTCATTTGTTCTAGATAGGCTATGTATATATTTGTGTGTATATTAAAGGGAGACAGATCATGTAATAAAATTATACCACCTTGTTTTCCATTTCTTTTATATAACTCATGGAGAAATAGGGTGGTGTTGTGGATGGAGATCTGGCCCCAAAGCCAGAAAGACGTGGGTTTAAGTCTCAGCTCTGGTTCTGTGACCTTGGGAAAGTCACTTACTTCTTAGTGCCCTAGGCAACCCTCTTAGACAATTCTGCAGAGAAGTTGCTAATGATTTGACTTGGTAGAGGGAGTTTTGCCACTTGGAAGTTCTTTAAATTAATGAAATCATAGATGCAGTCCTTATCTATAATTTCTTTCTTATTTAAATCATCAAGTTTACTGAATTCTTCTTTGAACAACTTTGTACTAGAAAATATATCAAATACAAAAGAAGTTTAAAATATTGTCTTATCCACACTTTGTGTAGCCCACAGTACTCTGAATATGTTATACTGTTAATATTTGTGGAATAACTTTTACTTGACTCAGATATCAACTCACAGCATCATCTCATGCCTCTCTTCCCTTTCACGTGAAACCCTTAGAAAGCATAGCTATAATGCAAATTAGGTAAGAGCAAAGGAAGTCTCTGTAAAAAGTGCTTTGAAAAATCTGAGAAGTGAGAGGTTTCCTCCATTGGAATAATAGTGTACATCAAGGCATTGGGGGAAATAAAATATTTAGATGACACATTGTCCTTATTGGGTTTATGTTCTAGGACGGACATGTGATACATAATGAAATACTTATAATATAAAAGAATACATGAAAAAGCAGTAAGAGAAGTGGAAGCAAAGTGATATATGTAGGTTAAAGGGAGGAAAAACCTACTGGAAGGAACTTTTTTTTTGGCTAGGCAGTGGAGTTAAGTGACTTGCCCAGGGTCACACAGCTAGTAAGTGTCAAATGTCTGAGGCTGAATTTGAACTCAGGTTCTCCTGTCTCCCAGGCTGGTGCTGTATCCACTGTACCACCTAGCTTCCCCTGGAAAGAAATTTTGAGACCATGTAGTTTAAACCCCTAATTTTACAGATGAGTAATAGATACTCAGAGCTGGAAAGTGACTTGCTCCGGGTAACACACATCATAAATAGCTGAGATAAGATTCAAATATAGGTTCAAAACCAGTGCCGTTTTTTTTTTTTTTCACTGAGCTATCCTGCCACAGTACAGACTGTCAGAAATTAGGAAAGTTTCTTGGAAGGGTTGCATACGAATTCAACAGGCAGAGGAGAAAGAACATTCCAGAATTTAATATGAGAATGGGGGTGAGAATGAGAGACATAAGGGACATGCAATACAGTTTGGTTGTAGCATAGAGTATGCACAAGGGAATGGTATATGATAAGTCTAGAGGGAACTACCAGATTGCAGAAGGCCTTGAGTGCCATATAAAGGGCTTGAAATCTGTTGGGCAGATATTAATAGGTTTTTGAGAATAGTAGTGATGTTCCTAGATCTATACATAAGGAGGATTAATTTGACATCAGTTTGAAGGATAGATCAGAGGAAGAGAGAGAACAGAGGTCTTAAAATATCTAGGGAAGCTGATGCAGTGGTCCTAAATGACCCTGACCTATTTGCTTTTCATCATACAAGATAGCCCTTCTCCTCTCTCTCTCTGTGTCTTTGCTGTAACTATCACTCATGTCTAGAATACTTTTCTCCCTCACCTTGGCCTCTTAGAATCCCTTGTTTTCTTTAAAACTCAACTCAAATTCTACCTTCCTTAGGAGGCCTTTCTAGCTACCCTTTAGCTGAGCTTCTTGAAGGAGACTGTTTTTGCCTTTTTTGATATCCCCAGCTTTTTTAAAGCATATTGCCTGGCAATGGAGATATACAGATTTTCTGAGGCTAGAGATTGGTAACTGACTAAATATGAGAGGTGCAAGAAAAGGAAGAGTACAATGTAATTTCAGGGTTCAAACACAGGCACCTGAATGAAATAGTGAAGCCAGAGGGAGATTTTTGATCATTACCTTGTCATGGTGGAGGGGCTTATGTAGCTCAATGAAACTATGAGCTCTTCTGTGTACGGTTACTCAAGATGCACAGGTCAGTAAAGAGTTTGGCAAAAGGTGATCCAAGAGGGAAATGACAAACCACTTCAGTATTTTTGCCAAGAAAACCCCACAGGTAGTATTAAGATGATAAAAGATACAGCACCAAAAGATGAGCCCCTCAGGTCAGAAGGTGTCCAGCGTGCTACTCGTGAAAAGTGGAGGACAACTAGAAGTAGCTCCAGCACTAATGAAGCTACTGGGCCAAAACCAAAAGGAAGCTCAGCTGCAGATGTACCTGGTGAGGAAAGGAAAGTATGATAATGTAAGATTTATGAACCAAGGTAAGCTGGAGGGGGTCAAAGAGGAGATGAAAGATTAAACATTGAGATTTCAGGTCTCAGGGAACTTCAATGGATGGAAATGGCTGGATATGGCTGGATTTAATTCAGGTGATCACTACATAAACTATTATGGGCAAGAATCTCTTAGAAAAAGTAGAGTAGCCCTCATAGTGAATAAAAGGGTGAGAAGAGTAGTACTGTGGTATAATTGCAAAAATGACAGTATATTTGTTTGAATCCAAGGCAAACCCTTCACCATCACAGTAACACAAGTCTATGCTCTAAATACTGATTCAGAAAAAGCCAAAGTTGATCAGTTCTATGAAAACCTACAACATCTTCTAGAAATAATACCCCAAAAAAGACATCGCATTTATCATAGGGGATTGAAATGCTAAAGTAGGGAATCAAAAAATAATTGGTTAAAAAAAGGCAAGTTTGGCTTCAAAATACAAAATGAAGCAAGGCAGAGACTAATAGAGTTTTGTCAAGATAACTCACTGGCCATAGAAAATAACTCTTTTTTAAAAAAAATTTATTAATTTATTTTGATTTATTAACAATCACTTCCATATGCGTTTGAGCTCAAAATTTTTCTCCCCCTTCCTCCCCCCCACCCTCCCCAAGATGGCACACAATCTGATATAGGCTTTACATTTACATACCCATTAAACATATTTTCACATTAGTGAAGTTGTAAGTAAAAATTAAAACCAATAGGAGGAACCATCAGAAAGATGAAACAAAACTCAACAGAAGGTAAAAATAAGTGATAGCGATTCGACTTCCATAGTTCTTTCTTTGGATATGGACAGCAATTTCCATCCCTAGGCCTCTGGAGATGTCTTAGATCCTTGTAATGCTGAGAAGGGTTCAGTTTAACAATCTTAGTCACTGCATAATGTGGCTGTTACTGTGTACAAAGTCCTCTTGGTTCTGCTCACTTCACTCAGCATCAGGCCATATAGGTCTTTCCAGGTTTTTCTGAAGTCAGCCTGTTCGTCATTTCTTATAGCACAATAGTATTCTATTACATTCATATACCACAGCTTGCTCAGCCATTCCCCAATTGATGGGCATCCTCTCAATTTCCAATTCTTTGCCACCACAAAAAGAACTGCTATGAATATTTTTGCACATGTGGGGCCTTTTCCCATTTGTTTGATCTCTTTGGGATATAGCCCTAGAAGTGCTATTGCTGGATCAGAGGGTATGCACATTTTTGTAGTTCCAAATTGAAATAACTCTTTTTTCAAGAACTCAAAAGGTGACACTATATATGGACATCACCAGATGGTCAATATAGAAATCAGACTATTATATGTTTTGCAGCCAAAGCTGGAGGAGGTCTCTACAATCAGTTAAAACAAGACTTGGAGGGGATTGTGGATCAGATCATGAACTTCTTATTGCAAAATTCCAATCTAAATTGAAGAAAGTAGGGAAAACCATCAGATCATATAGGTATGACCTAAATAAAATCCCTTATGAATGTGAGTGGAAAAGATGAATAGATTTTTTGGATTAGATCTGGTAAATAGAATGCCTAAAGAACTATGGACAGAGGGTTCCAATATTGTACAGGAGGTAGCAACAATAACAAATCCCAAGGAAAGGAAGAGGAAGAAAACAAAATGGCTGTCTGATGAGGCTTACAAATAGCTGAGGAAAGAACAAAAGTGAAAGGTAAAGGAGAAAGGAAAAGATATATCCAACTGAATGCAGAATTCCAGAGAATAGCAAGGAGAGATGAGGTTTTCTTAAATGAGCAATTCAAAGAAATTGAAGAAAACAATAAAAAGGGAAAGACAAGAGATCTCTTCAAGAAAATTATAGCTATCAAGGAAAAGTTTCATGCAAAAATGGGTGTGACAAAAGGCAAAAACAGTAAGGACTTAACAGAAGTAGAAGAGATTAAGAAGTGGCAAGAATCCACAGAAGAACCATACAAGAAAGATCTTAACATCACTGATAATTAAGATGGTGTTAACCACTGTGATAACCACTGATCTAGAGCCAGACATCCTGGATAATGAAGTCAAGTGGGCCTTAGGAAGCTTTACTAATGATAAGACAGAAATCTAGCTGAGCTATTTAAAACCCTAAAAGATAATGCTGTTAAAGTGCTGCACTCAATATGGCAGTGAATTTGGAAAACTCAACAGTGGCAACTGGATTGGAAAAGATCAGTTTATTGCCCTAGCCTAAAGAAGGGCAATGCCAAAGAATGTTCAAATTACTGAACAATTGAATTCATTTCATACACTAGCAAGGTTATGCATAAGATTCTATAAGCTAGGCTTTAGCAATATGTGAACTGAGAATTACCAGAAGAAGAGGCTGGTTTTTGAAGAGGCAAAGGAACTAGAGACCAAATTGCCAACATTTGCTCGATTATGGAGAAAGCAAGGGAGTTCCAGGAAAATATCCCCTTCTGCTTCATTGACTGCACTAAAGCCTTTGGTTGTTTGGATCACAACAAAATGTGGCAAGTCCTCAAATGGATGGGAGTACCAGATCATCTTACTTGTCTCCTGAGAAACCTATTTGTGGGCCAAGATGCAACAGTTAGAATTGAACATGGAACAACTGATTGGTTTAAGATTCGAAAAGGATTACAACAAGGCTATGTATTGTCACCTTATCTATTTAATTTATATGCAGAATACATCATGAGAAATACTAGTCTGGATGAATCAAAAGCTGGCATTAAGGTTGCCAGGAGAAATAACAATCTCAGATATGCAGATGAAGAAAGTGATGAAGAATTAAGAAGCCTCTTGATGAGGGTGAAAGAGGTATAAAGAAGTATAAGGTATAAGGTATAGGTAAGAGATATAAAAGCTGGCTTGAAGTTTAACATAAAACAAAAAAACTAAGATCTTGATTCCATCACTTCCTGGCAAATAGAGGGAGAAGAATGGACACATATCAGATTTTATATTCTTCAGCTCAAAGATCACCACAGAATGTGACTGCAGCCATGAAATTAAAAGATACTAGCTCCTTGGTGGGAAAGCTATGGCAAATCTGGACAGCATACTAAAAAGTATGGGCTTCACCTTGCCAACAATAGTCCATATAGTCAAAGCTATGGTTTTTTCAGTATCAGTATATGACTGTGAGAGTCGGACTATAAGGAAATCTGAGCACTACAGAATTGAAGCTCTCTTTATTTCACTTATCACTGTTATTCAGATGACTCTCAATTCATCTATCTGATTCTAATCTCTTGATAGATCACTAATAAGCATTTATTAATTCCCTTTATTAAGATTTAAAGACAAAAGTCAAGGATTCCTTGCTCTCAAGAATCTGAATTTCTTTTGGGGTAAGACAACACATAAGGCATGTACAACCTAAATATACATAAAATGTATATACAACAAATATAAGGTTACTTAGGAGGTGGGCACAAGGAGCTAGGAGTATTGATCATGAAACTTTTCATGTTGTAAATGATGTTTTAGCTGAGCATCAAAGACTAGGAATTCACAGAGATGGAGTTCAAGGGGGAATTTGTTCTAGGCAAGGGAAAAAGTCTGTGGAAAGGCAAGGAGGTAAGAATATGAAGTGTATGGAACTTCAAGAACATTAGTCTGGATGAATGAAGAGGTTAACAGTGGTTAAAAGAGCTTAATAGAGGTTAAGGCTGGAAAGGTCATTTGGAAACAGATTGTGAAGGGATTTAAGTATCAGACTTTACCAGAGGAGTTTGTATTTGATTTGATTCCAGAGATAATAGGGAAATACTGAATTTTGCTGAGCAGGAGAGTGAAAGGGTTTTCAGAACATCATTTTGTAGAGGATGGATTGGAGAGGGAGGAATGAGACAAGTAGACTCATTTGGAGGCTATTCCAATAGTCTGGATTTAAGGGTTTATGAGGATGCTAAATATACTAAGTCTAGAGAATCATCTAGAGGAAGTAGAAACAGAAGGGAATGAGCTTTATGTCTGAGGCCTTCAAGAAAGGATTTAGCTCCAACCTCCTCTTTTCTAGCATTGTAGTATGAAATACCCATGGTTTCCTGGCTGATGTCCTTCAGGGACATGCTAGTAGGGTAATGGTGAGTTCTCAGCTCTGCACTGAGGCCATCTGCTTAGGGCTTTAAGAGGAGGTAGAAAGTTCTTTGCTCTTTTGTGATCCCCTGGGATGGGTGGCTCAGATTTAGATGGTTTGGTACAAGAACTTTGCTGGTGTTCACAATCATGCCCTGAAGCACTGATATTTATTTAGAGAAATGGGCATCTGGGCCTTAGTATGTGTCATGTGTGCTCAGAGAACAGAACAACTTGTGCCTTGTCTTTATATCTCTAGGGGGAAGAAGCTACTTTTTAGAGAAGACAGTGAGGGATATAGCCGAAAGATATTGGATCTGAAGGGAAATATGGATGGAAGAGTGCCTGCCAAAAGGACTATTCCCCCAGGCCTTCAGGGGAAATAACATTGTGTGCTCCTTCACCTACTCCCACCTCAAAATCAGGCTAAAAGAAGCAAACTTCAAGGGCAAATGTGAAGGAGAAAACAAGTCTCAAATACTCAATTCAATTATTAATATGTATTGTGTGCAGAATGCTATGGTAGGTGTTAAGAGCAATAGAAACAGAAGAAAGTACAAAAGACTGTTGGGGTGGGAGAAGGGATGAGGGAGAGTGGCAGAGTTATGGGCTAAATCTATGTTTATGAGCAGCTCAGGACTTTTTTTTTTTACACTATTAGCTGATAGAACAGCCTTTCTACCTCTCACCTCTATTAGGTGTAGGAATGAAATTTGAGGCCTAGGGAGATGCCTAGAATCATTAACACCTGTTTATGTCCCCCAAATGTAGTGACCATTGAGAATCTTTTCTGACCTTCAATTGAGGCACTATTGGAGAACTAAGTGATCAGTCAGGCTGACATTCTAGGTGGTCACTTCAGATGATCAGTAAAATGTTTAGAATGGACCTGTCCTTCATCTCTTTCTCTTTATCTGCCATTAATAGGAATGAAACTAATACCCTAGACTACTGTTTGTCCAAAGGTATCATATGTCTCCAGTCCTGGTTTCTTCATTTAAGGAGTTGGTTCTTAAACCCAAATATAGGCAAGCACAGATTGGTCTCTTTTTTTTTTTTTAAATTTGTCAGTGTGCCTGATTCTCAAATGTTTGACTAATAATTTTGTTACCTTGGTCGAGCAGCATGGTCATGTCTTATCTATCTATCCCATGAAACTGAGTAACAGATAATAGAAAGACAAATTCAGTAAGATAGCATGGTCAGATGGGAAGAGTTTTGTGTCGTAGAAATAAATTTGTCTCCTAAATAATGATGGCTGGTCCTATCCCCTTCCCTACTATGATCATTTTGTTTGTTTGTTTGTTTTGTTTTGCTTTGTTTTGTGTCTTTTCTTCTCCCCTTTTTAAACATTTAAATATAAAATAAGAAAAAACAAAAAAAATGACATGTCCACTGCAGAACATAGGAGAGGATTCAAATTATATAGCAATAACTTTTCATTTCAAGAAAGCCTATATATTAAATACTGTTCATTATATTGAAAGCTGTCCATCTTTTCTTTGCTTCCTTGTAGGTTTTCTTTTGTTCTCTGCTGTGCACTTTTTACTTTGTTTTTTTTTTCTCCTCCCTCCCTCCTACCCACCATCCCAAGGCTACAGTTGAGCATTGGATATATTTATATATAGGCATTGATATATGTATACTTATAAATATGTACACATACATACATACATATATATGTATATTATATACTTTCCCTAAGAGATTCTGCTTCAGATCTTTCTTTTTATGTTTGTGCATATCTCTTTATTTTTTTTATCTCTCCTAATTCCTCTCCTTTACTTCTACCTGTTACCTTACCCTCTTATTACTTAACTTACCCCCACTCCAGGAATCCCTCCCTTATTCTCCCATTCCCCTAAATTTAAGCCCCCTTTATCCCCCTTTTAACCTTTTCCCACACCCTCCCCTCTAAAGATCCCTCCTTTATCCTCTTCCCCCTCCCTATCCCCTTGGAGTTCTATTTCTTTCTAAATTTAGAAGACTTTCATACTCTTCTAAATGTATATATATTTTCTCCTATTAAACCTGTTCCCAATGAAAGTAGGTTTCCAGAACTAACAGTCCCCTAGTCCCCTTCCCCCATCTAATTCTTTGGTATTGGTTCTTTCTTGCACCCCATTTGTAAAAGATAATTACTCTTTTAGCTGTACTTGACTCGTTTTACTTTTTGAAGTCATATAATACTCAGGTCTGCTCCAATCTTCCTTATAAGCTACCTAATAACTAGTTACAATCAGACACAGGTTTTACATTTTTCATGCATAAAAGGTAAACATTCTATCCTAATTTATAGTCCCTTGTAATTGGTCACTGGTATGTATGTACCTTATGTTTCTCTTGGCTCTTTTATGTTTAATCTTCTATTGAGTTCAGGGTTTGTTTTTTTTTTTAACAAAGATCTGAAAGTCTGACAATTGATCAAATATCCATTTTTTTTTTCATTCAGAATTATGCTTAGCTTTTCTGGGTATGATATTTTTAGCCAGAAGCCCAGTTCTTTTGTTCTTCAATATACAGTGTTCCAAGACCTACAATCTCTTAGTGTCACTACTACTAAATCTTGTGTGATTCTAATTGTGGTACCCCTGTATGTAAATTATTTTTTTCTTGCTGCTGGTAATAGTTTGTCTTTGATCTGGGAGTTTTGAAATTTGACTATAATATTCCTATGAGTTTTCCTCATAGGATGTCTTTGACGTGGTCATTGATGGATTTTTTTTTTTTTTTACTATTTCTGCTTTCTCCTCTTGTTCTAATGCTTCAGGACAATTTTCTTTAATTATTTCTTATATTATTGTATCAAGATTCTTTTTTTGATCAGAACTTTCAGCTAATCCCATTATTCTTATGTTTTGTCTGTTTGATGTGTTCTCTAGATTCATTGTTTTTCATATATATATATATATATATATATATATATTATATATATATATATTTCTTCATCTCATAACTTCACTGGCATCCATCCCCTTGCCCAATTCTCATTTTCAAGGAGTCATTTTCTTCTTTAAGATTCTGGATCTCCTTTTCTAATTGGTTGACTTTCTTTTCATAATCTTTCTTTTTTTTTGTATTATTCTTATTTTTCTTTTTAGTTTTTCCTTGGTCTCTCTCATTTGTTTGGGCTTTTTTTTTTTTGTAAAGCAATCAGGGTTAAGTGACTTGCCTAGGGTCGCACAGCTAGTAAGTGTCGTGTGTCTGAGGCCAGATTTGAACTCAGGTCCTCCTGACTCCAAGGCCAGAGCTCTATCCACTGCACCACCTAGCTGCCCCTCTCATTTGATTTTTAAAGTCTTTTTAAAGTTCATCAATGAGTTCTTTTGGGGCAGGTGACCATTTGACATTACTCTTTGAGGTAGAAGAGAGTTTCTTTGCTTCAGTATTCTCCTCTGAAGAGGAACCCTGATCTTCTCTATTCCCATAATAGCTCTCTATGGTTAGATTCTTTCTCCTTTGCCTGTGCATTTTTTTTTGTAATAATTTAGTTTTTATAATCACCTCTAGTCCTAGGGTATGGAGAATGGTGCTGCTAATCCTCTTCAGTTCACTGTTATGACCTTGAACTCAAACCAAGACCTCCAGTCTCCTGTTCAATGCCCACAGCAGAGTCATCGCCACCCCACTGCTTCTGCACTCACCTGGCACGTGCTGGTTCCTTCTCGCCCGGGCTACTCTCTGCAGCACAGTTTGGTCTGGCGTTTCTGGTCAGCACAGGGTCCCTCTATCTTCCTTCCACAGATCAGATGTCCAATTCCCCTCACTATCCCAGGGGTAAAAGTTCCTGTGGCTGGGGCCAAGGCAGCCTCCCAAACCAGCTAACCCCAGGGCTTGCTGCTTGTTGTTTAAGCAGCTTGAAGATTGTTGTTGAAGCAGACCCTAGCCTGGAGGTGTTTACTCTTCACAGGGAGGAAATCTTGTCCAGGATTTTTCTTCAGATCTTTTCCAGTTGTCCCAGGAGGACCCCTCTTCTGTTCTTACTCTTATTTGTTTTCACAGCTCTATGTTCACCCAGAGGTGCTATTTTATCTCTTTGGTGGAGGAAAATCTTGAGAGCTTGAAATTTTCTGGCTACTCCGCCATCTTCCCAGAATCCTCTCCCTTCCCTACATGGTCAATATTCAGTTCTAATGCTGCAACGGCCGCTATCACCGTGTACTGTCTCCTATTGAGATAAGGAAGCCAGGAACATACTCACCACAGTGGCCACTCGGAGTCTTCGGAGCCTACCCGGATACACGAAAGGACGAGTCGATCGGGAGGTGTTTAACTTTTTCTAACCAAAAAGCCATAAGGGTGAGAGAGAGAGAAATCAGCAGACAGAGAAGCAAAAAGCCAGAGCCAGAGAGAGGGAACAGGGAGGGTAAAGCGTGCTAGCTGAAGGAGAGAGAGGAAAGAGCCCCGCCTGTAACCTCTTAGAGAGCAAAGGATCACCAACCACCTCTTGAGGTGGGTTGCTGTCCATCAAGGTGTAACTTTTTCTCAAAGAAGCTGTTATCCTGATGTGCAAATTCCTTTCAGAGCAAACCCATTATAAGGTCACTGTCACTGACTGCAAATATATACCTCTTCTCCATGGGAACGGTCTCTCTCTCTCTCTCTCTCTCTCTCTCTCTCTCTCTCTCTCTCTCTCTCTCTCTTTCTGTTTGTCCCTTGAATAAACCTTTGTTATTCAATTATTTTCTGTCATACTTAAAAAAGCCTTTCTTCTGGATGTTTGCAAATTTTCCCCTTGTTGAAATATAGAGATTTAACCAGAATAGGATTTTGCATATAGGGATTATTCATACATTTTCAGGATCAATATCTGTATTCAGAATTTCTGGATAGTGTTCTTGTATTATTTTCTACAGTACAGTGTTCTGATTTTTTGATTTAACATTTTCTAGCAGAATTATGATAAATTTCAATTTTATCTTTCCTCATCCTTTCTTCAAGATTGTTTGAACTTGTATAGAATTCATGTGTTCTTTTATCATTGCTGCTTTGTTTATATTCTGCCTAATTTTCCTCTACTTCTATATTTTTATGTCCCAAATCTATTATTTTCTCTTGGAGGTTTTACTTTCTTGGAGAGAATTTTCATCATTGTTTAATTTTTCCTATTATACTGCTTGTGTTTTTTTAATTGTGTTGAGAGCTGTGATTTCTGACCTAAAATCATTCCTAATTTCTTCTTTTAAGAAATCTATTTTTCTTTTGAGTGATTCTGGAATTTCTTGCTGTTGTTCTGTGATTTCTGAGAAGTCCATAAGGTTCTTTCTTTCACTGGCTAATATTCCTTCCTTTTATTTGATGTTATAATAATAAAATTATAATTGTGCAACAGGGTCTTTCTTCGTTTTGGCGTTTTACTCATTCCTTCTGATTTTTTTGATCCTCTCTACTGATTGATCTCCTTGTATTAAGGTTTTTTCTCTTAAACTTTTGTTCTTTTCACTTTTCTCTTGTATACCCTAAGCCTAGTCACTGATTTACTGCTTCTGTCTTTGAACCTTCTACCTACCTCTGCTGCAAAGACCCCTTATATTGGAGTGCTGGGGTTAGCAGGAGCAGGGCCTCTCCCCTGGCCCCAGGTGTGTTTGCAGTACCTTTTTTCTCAGGTACCTACATTCTTTCTCTTCTAATTGGTAGCTCTGCACTAAGGTTGTCACTTCCAATTCTTCCTACCCTTAACTTTTTATTCTTCAAGAGGCAGGGCAAAAATACTGTGTGATGCCTCCTGTGGAGTTAAAGGAAGTTCTGGCCAAGTCACAGCCATGGGGAATCTGTACATCAGGGCTCTGAGGTGCAAGCTTGTGAATTTACCTGTGCCTATCATGCTCCCCATGCAGAATGGGTGTGGGGGTAGGGCACTGAGTGGGACTTCTAAATATCTGAATTCTCTCATGTTGTTTCATGAAGTTTTTACCTTGCATGGAGTCCTGTCTTCTTTTTGTTTTTATTCTGTATAATTTTCTAAAACCGAATAAGAATGAACAAAGTGCAGGGCTAGAAGTTAGGAACAAGAAGCCCACTTTTGTGCAGTCTGAAATCTCCACTCCTCATGGCTCTTTACTACAAATTAATCATGTTAAATTTAAAACTCTCAGGCAGCAAGCAAATGTGCTCTGAGTCTCCTAAAAGGACTAGAAATCTTAACTTTCTCCATGTAGTATACTCTCTTGGTTTTTCCCAGGTGTACCTGAATGCCATTGTAGGGAAGCACTCTCCATCCCCTTGTTTTCAGAGTCTCTAGGGTACAAAAATTAAGATCCATTGCTAGAGATAGAGAGGGTAGAGAACTGGAGAGTCTCTTCCACCAAAGTGTCCATCTTCTCTGGAACCTCATATGTGGTCCCCGGCAGGTTCATTCCCCAGGGCCTCTGGTCTTTCCTGCTTCCTTGGAGGAACACCAGTGAAGCAAGTGGTCTCCAGCCCCAGTGACATCACTTGAGCATCTCTCTGGTGAGGGGATGTAATCAGCACAAACTGATGGTTGGAGAACATCTATCAGCGACTGAGGGAGAAAACACTCCTAAGAAAAGAGGATATGCTCCAAGTCAAAATCTAAGAGAATATACAGCATGTGGGTTGTGTGAATTCACACAGTATGAAGTGAACAGAACCAGGAGAACAGTTTATACAAGAACTGCAACAGTGTAAAGAAAATTAGCTTCGGATGACTGAAGAACTCTGATCAATGCAATGACCAATCATATCTCCAGAGGATTTTCAATGAATATAAACCAGCATTTAAAAAGTGCTTCAAGGTGTGCAAAGCACTTTACTTATATTATTTCATTTGATGAGGAAACATGGTACTCACTTGCTGACAGAGGAATGATAGACACAAAAATGTGGTTATGCATTATTAAACATGACCACTGTGTAGATACATTTTGTTTGACTATGCTTATCTGTTATAAGCATAACAGTTTTTAAAGAGGGGACACAGGGAAGGGGGGGGAATTAGTAATAGTGATGCCAAAATAAAGAGTGCCATCATAATTTTATTTGACTTTTTTTTTTGGAGGCAATTGGGGTTAAGTGACTTGCCTGGGGTCACACAGCTAGTGAGTGTCTGAGGGCAGATTTGAACTCAGGTCCTCCTGACTCCAGGGCTAGCATTCTATCCATTGTGCCACCTAGCTGCACCCCCATCATAACTTTATAAATGTACGGAATGAAACAATAGAAAATTAAGAAAGAAGCTCAAGCAAGCAGGATAATGTATACAGTAACATGTTGAATTTATTACATATTTTTCTCCTTTTGTGTTCTGCTACATATATAGAAATTCTCTTTTTCTGGTGTTTAATCTCAGAACAAAATTTTAAAACGAATATAAGGGATATTGTGCAAGGTCAAGTCAAAGTTCATGAAGCAATAGAATCCAAAGGCAAAGGCAGGAGGCAGGAAAAAAAAAGGAGTTTCCCAGGAGTGGACCGAAGCAGGCATCAACACAGAGTCAGGGAAAGAGCACTGCGAAGGGGAGCAGTAGACATTAGTGAGATGGTGGTTTATTTCTTGCACCTTTGCTGGGGGCACGGGCTTTTATGGCGAGAGCATGTTAGCTGTGCTCCTCCCTGCTCTATTGTGTCAGCATTGCTATATCTTTCAATTCAATTCAATAAACACTTATTAAGTGCACATTCTGTGCCAGGAACTGTGCTAATTGCTGGGGATACAAATGAGGAAAAGAAAGATAATCCCTATCTTCTAGGAGCTTACAATCTAATGGGGGATGATGATACGTAAAAAGGAGGCAGGAAAGTGGGGGGACCTGTAGGGGTACTCAATGTGGTGATATCTTGTCCCATGGAGTTGAAAGCAGGCAGAGCAGCAGATGCAAAGTGGAGTGAGCTGAGAGTCTAATTCAGCCCTCTTTAAAGGAAGCTTCTGGGAGGAGTTTGGTACGCCACCCTCCAGCCCTCCAATTGGAGAGGTTGGTCAATGTCTATCCTCTCAAAATGGCCGGGCTAGACAACTTCTATCCTCCCAAAATGGCTTCCCAGTACTTTAGGTTGGCGTTGGTTGCGGTAGCCTTAGTGGAAGATTTCTACAGGCTTTATGGGATGAACATTGTGAATTTGCTCCCAAATCTTCTCCTTGAGATTCTAACCCTACCAATCTACTAGGTAGTAAAGATGGCCCTGTTGGCTCCATGAGCATAGGATGTTCCGGATATGCCTTCACAATATCACATGTAAAGAGGGGTATTTTGGTACCTTGCCAGTACTTTGAAGCTTATTTTTTGCTTTTGCTTGCCCCTTCCTCCTTAGACGACCACTAAGGAAAGTGGACTCTAGTTACTCAATTATTACTCCTTGGGTGCTAGATATTGTCACTCTTTTTGTGACCACTCACTGGTAACTCTTCCCCTTTTCCCCCCTCTCCCCCTCCCAGAAATAAGACAGTGATTGATTTCTTCCATCGTGACCATATAAAATATGTAAAATACAAAATACTTATTAAATACAAACACTTAAAACATGAACCAGCAACCAGTCACTTCTGCCATACTTTTAGAAAGTAAAGACTCCTGGGAGACTTGCGGCACGGCTAAACACATATTTTTCTTCCTTCTGTGACCTGTGTTGACTTTTCCAAGTTGGAGGTGCTGTACTGGGCAGCGAGAAAAGAATGCATTCATGAGTTCTTAGAGGTAGGGAGTAACCGCTGAGTCTATGCAGACAGATGCACACTAGAGAACCAATGGGACAAGGTTTGTTAGTAGGGGGTAGGACTTAAATCCCAAGTATATAAGAAGCATCTAGTAGATAGATATATCACAGATCTAAGTCCGGAGAGGAACAGACCTAAAATAGTCACAATAGCAATAATAAATAGCATTTATGTAGTACCTACTACGTGCCAGATATTGTGCTAAGTGCTTTGCAAATACCTCATCTGATTCTCACAACAACTCTGCGAAGTAGGTGTTTTTGATCATTCACATTTTTACAGATGAGGAAACTGAGGCAAATAGAAGTTAAGTGACTTGCCCATGTTGACACGGCTGGATTTGAACTCAGGTGTTCCTGACTCCAGTCTCAGCACTCTGTTCACTAAGCCATCTAACTGCCTCTACGCAAACAAGGCCTGTTGGTCCAAGTGACACTAGACAGCAGGCTTCGTCCTCTCTGATTCTGAGGCCAAGGTTGCTGCTTGCTCTACCCTGTTTCATACAACTCGATGAGCTTAGGTGTGCCTACAGACAGGAATGGATTATTAGGAGAAGGAGAAGAGAGGGCTATATATGAATCGTGCCTTGGATTGAGAAAGCAATAAAGATGTCTTATTGCACAAAGGGA